CCCTTGTGGTACCAAAGATGCACATTTAGAAACAATCGTACAGAGCTGATCTGGCAGGCCGGTTAAAGTAGTTTGGGGTCCTGGAGTTCATGTTCTTCCAAGCTTTCTGTTCTCAAAAACTATGTTAAAAATAAAACAAAGACTCAGGGAGCGGCAGTGTAGCTTAGCGGTAGAGGGCATGCCTAGCACGCACAAGGTCCTGGGTTCAATCCCCAGTACCTCCGTTTAAACTAAATACACCTAATTACCTCCCCCGCCAATAACAACAAAAAAGATTTAAAAGTTTTTTTAAATAAGTAAAACAGAGTCAGTGCAGCATCCACCAGTGAACTGCAAGATCCTAATTAACCTTTCTGAAATCCTGGATGCCTTTTGGGACCACGGGCCTGGCGGAGTCGGCTGTTTTCATTTTCCTAACCCAGACGGCCAGCCTGTAAGAACACAGGGCTCTGAGTGTCTCCGGAATCCGGCCTCACCTTGTCTCTTCAGCCTCCTTTTCTATCACACAAGCCCGCTCATCCGGCCTAATGCTCTGCTTGGGTGGGAGCCACGTGTGGACTGCACTCCCCTCCCCGTCTTCAAAGCCGAGCTCAAAGTCCACGGCAAACCTCGTCAAACTCCATCGCCGCCCCTCCAGCTGGCTCCCCCGTCCTTACTGCCTATTTTCCACTGCTTGGTAACGACGTGATGCCACCTTTGTCACTGTGATACAGCTCGCCATGTCAGATTTCATTATGCACACAATCCCTTTTCCTCAGTGAGACTATAGGCTCCTCGTAGGCAGAGTTCTTTTTTTCCTTAAACTGCAGCCACAGGATTTTGGAAAACATTTGTCACAAAATATTGACTTAGAACTTATTACTTAACCAAAATTTATACTTTATTTTGTATTTTTTATGGAGGTATAGTTGATTTACAATATTGTGTTAGCTTTAGGTGTACAGCATAGTGATTCAGTATTTTTGCAAATTATATTCCATTACAGGTTATTACAAGATAATGGCTGTACATCCTTGTGCTACACAGTACCTCCTAGTTGCTTATCTGCTTTATATTTAGTAGTCTGAGTCTGTTAATCACATACCCCTAATTTGTCCCTCCCCTCCTCCCTTTCTTCCCTTTGGTAACCATAAGTTTGTCTTCTATGTCTGTGAGTCTGTTTCTGTTCTGTATATACATTCATTTGTATTATTTTCTTCAGAATGGTCTGGAGCAGGGCGGGGTGGGAGGAGTGGGGACGGGCAGATGACGCAAGATTGGCCGTGATGATGGATTAATTCTCCACTGATGATAGTTAAAGCTGGACCAGGGGCACGTGGGGGTTTACTATATGTTCTCTCGATTTTCCCATTTGCAATTGCTCATATTAAACAAAACAAAACAAAAACCAAACTTTTTTGGGAAAACAGCCATTCCAGGCTGGATTCATGTATCTGGCTGTAGGAAGGTCGGCATCAGTGCTGATGCGTGGCAGGAGCCTTAGACGTCTCCGAGGGTCTTCCTAAGGCACCACTGTGTTAATTAGTGCATTTCAGGGGCGAGCTAAACAGTCCATTAAGGAAACTGGACACCTTCCTCCAACACCTGCTGGTCAGGCTTTCTCAAGGCAGACTTGTCATTCATGGTGAGAATCTGTCATCTCTAAGAAGTAAGTCCTGGTAATTATTTCACCAACAAGTTATCCATTATTCATTTTTTAAAGAAACAGAGACTATCAAACCTGAAATATGTCTTTAAAGGAATGGGGAGGCACCAAGCCAGAAGATGCGCCGTTAACTCAAGGCTGGTAGTTCATCTGAATTCTGTGTGCGAGCCCCGGGGCAGCTGTCAGCGCAGGAGTGTTTAAGTGGGATTATCTGAGCTCTTTGCTGCTGCCAAGACGGATGGTTTCTAAGTGGAACCTCTTCTCCTCACAGTGACCAGGAATGATACTGAGTAAAATAACGGTCACAAAGAACATCACCAGGCCCCTAATGAGAAGCTGTTGACAGAAAAATTGCTCTAACATTCATCAAAAAGCCAGTGAATGTCAAGGAAGGAACCAGAGATGTAGCAGCTCATAAACTTCTCCAGGGGCCTCCAGAGGGGAGTCGGGGGACAACACACGGCTTCTCCTTTTTCCTGAATGCTGCTGAGTAAACTTCCAGAAAGCTTGGAACATTTATGGGGCAGCTCACTCTGACAGTCACCAGGGAGGGTGCCCCAGCTTTCAGTCAGAGCATCCTGTTTTGGGTACCAGTACTGGCTAGGTCAGTATCTTTTTCGTCATTTAGACCTTGTCTGTGTGATGTGACAATCTATAAGGTAACTGGGCACTGAGGTCTCGTCCGGCTTGAAAAGCCAAAGCTTCCCATAGACAGTTCCACGTGCTCACGAATGGGTCGGAGTGGAATTTTCCTCTCGATTTCTGTCATATTAGTTGCCTGTGGGGTTCATTTAGCAACCAGTCCTGTGGCCTCACTGTAACACATCTTCCTTTGCTCAACTTTGTTTCCACTTTTTGTGTGTGTGAGGGGAGGGCATGTTCCCTGAGTGGCTGATGCGAATCTGCCCCTTGACTTAGTTTGGTTTCCCCAAAGGCAGACCCCCAATCAAGGACTTGTGGGAAGGTGGTTTATTTGGAAAGTCACCCCAGGAGGCACAGACGAGGGCCGGGGGCCAGGTGAGGTGGGAAAACAGATGGAGTTTGTGCTAATGAGCAGGTCGGTGCTGCGGGTGGTGGGCTTGGCTCTGCTGGGCCCCGGAGGGTTGGACTGGTCTTATGCTTAAGAAAACCCACCCCATGGTGCCCAGCACAGTGCTTTGCAGTTAAGTAGGCACTTAATAAACACATGTATGGATCTTTAAAAATCCTTTCAACTTTTTTTTAAACTCAGAAGAAAAAATCCAAGCAACTAAAATAAAGGAAGTTGAATCTGATTCCCTGGGAACATGGTAACCTGTGAGGGAGGGGTCACCACTGGAAGCCCAGCGGGAGGAGGGTGTGAGGGGTCCCTGTGGGGTGTGGGCTGGGGGTGCGAGGCACAGTGAGTGACCCTGGCAACTGTCCATCCCCCTTAGGGACGGGGAGGGGCTGCTGATGTGGAACTAAGGGCCTTGAAGAAACTTCATGGGTGAAAAGCTGGGCAGACCAACTGGCTGTCATACGGGATAATTACCAAAGGATCAGAGCAATAACCCTGACGGCAGTGAGAAATGGACCAAATTTGGCTTCAGGTTTAAATCGGCATATTAACCATTTCAATAGATTCTATCAAGAGCAAATCTGTTAGCTGTCTTCACCCCTTGCCAACCAGCCGTGTGTCCTCTCTACCTGAAGAACGTGTAAGCAGGTGGAGGCCACCGCTGTGCTTTAAAGAAAGGAAACGGGCTTTTTGGGAACCCTGGGCCTGATTTCATCCACGTGGAACAACGTGATTCCCGAATATAAGCCTACACTTGCTGACGGCCCTGGATCTACAGAGAAAACAAGGACTTATTTCAGTTTCTACTCAGCTATGTAACTTTACAGAACTGATTTAGAAGATGTGGTCTGAGGATTTGGAGCCATTTCTTATGTCTATATACATGTGAGTCCGTACGGGGTGGGCTGCACCCGGACAACACTGAACTGGACCCAGCGAATCCCCTGGAAGGTCTGCTCTGTGCTGGGCAGTGTCCAGGCCTGAGGATGAAACAGGAACGAGGACTCATGTGGCCCTGCAGGAACGCACACTCCTGTTGGGGGGCAGAGAGCATGACGCACTAGGCTGTGATGTGAAAATGGTACTTCAGGGTGCTTCCTGCACAACTGAAGTGTCTACAAAGTGATGGAATGTCGCTGTCACATAAAGCCAGTAAGCAGGGTGGCCTGGGGCAGAGCCCAGCTCACAACTGGGCCCCCTGGGTTTTAAACCCAGCCCCGCCCCCTCCTGGCTGTGTGATGACGGGCAAGTCACTTAGTATCTTTGTGTTTTAGTTTCTCTTCTGTAGTGTGGGGTTCATAAGGCCTACTGCACAGAGATTTTGTGAGGATTAGCGTATTAACATCCATCAAATGCTTAAAACAGTGCCTGGCACAGAGCAATCACTAAATGAATTGGAGCTTTAATAAGCTCTAAATCAAACTCCACTTTGACCAATTCATTTTTGTTTCCTTTTTCCAAATACCTAGAATTTTTTTTACAATGGTAAAGACAGATTTTATTCCAGTTTAATTTTTTAATTGAAGTATGGTGTATTTAGAGTATTTTGTTATTTTCTGGTGTACACCACAGGCATTCCATTTTACAGATATATATTCCTTTTCCTGTTCTTTTTTCATTGTAGGTTTTTTACAAGAATTTTGAATA